TGTAGGCGGTTCTAAAAACCAATGCAAATTCTCGGTCATCCAGGTGTTGTTAACCACAAAACTGGCTTTAATCAGAGGCAACTGACTGAAGCCTGTTTTGTGTCAAAAAAGATCAAATAAATTAGAAAGTCTGAGGTAAGCTCAGCCTTCCTCCGATTTAAACACGTTTTGTGGCGGTTCTACAAATTATTAAGTCAGGGGAGCTAAACAAAAAGTTAAGCCACGCCTTTTAGATTTTCATTAGTAAATAACTTTGAAAATCTTTCTACTTTTCCCTTCCTAATCCACAATCATTGTACAACATATGGGAAATATGAAGGGGAATGGAGACTTTTGCAGGGCACTGGAACTCCAGGTGAATTCACAGCATGTGTTGATAAGAGCTCACATCTGAAACTCCCCTTTCAAATATGTAAATAAAGGTAGATATATCTACTTACACAAACTAAAGATTCAAATTATCTGGATTAAAACTGAAGCTTAGTCTTTACATTTTATGAACATTACAGCGGGAGCACCAGCATGTACATTTTAAATGAAGTATAAATCTGCTGGTGGAGATTCTCAGTCATCCAGGTTATAGTCATTCCAAAAAAGTAAAAACAAAAACAATCCGGTTAAAAACAAAGTCCAGTGGATTGTTTTTTTTAACTTTTTTGAATAAGTTTAAATCTATTTAAACTTGTCCTCTGGGAAGAGGCTTCACAGCATCCACTGCAGGTCCAGCAGGTTTTGCAACAACCATTTCCCCCGCTGCCATCAGACTGTTGAACTACTGAACTCTAAACCGGACTCTGCATCACATTATTTTGCACTACCAATGTTGCAGAACTTTTATAATCTTTTTAAATAGGACACAACTCAATGTTTCTACTGCATTCGGCACTATATTATTTTTGCGCTGCACTGTTTTCATGTTAATGCCTTTTTGCACTATTTTCTAAACTGGTTTCTTTTTTCCTCTACATTGTTTACATTCTGATCACTGCTGCACTTTCTATTGCTAATGTTTATCTACTCCAACTGCAATATCATTACACTGTTGTAAGCTGCACGCAACGAAATTTGGTTTTGTATACACTCTGTGCAAATGACAATAAAGTTAGTCTATGTCTAAGTCAACTTTCATCCCATACAAAATATAACAAGTTTATTCTTTGTTTTTTGTGTGTTCAAAACTGTAGTAGGTTACTACTACTGCAATTTATTTACTGAAAAGTTTGCATGTAAGGATTAAATTACTACTGAGATTATTTTCTTACAGGCTTTACATAATAGATAAGTTTGATTGTCAAAGCAGCTGCGTTCAGAGTACACCGTCTTAAAATCTGAGCACAGAGAATCTTCCTGGAAGCTTACCTGAGTAAGAATATATTTTCTCTGCGCCTCTTCTGCAGTTATAAGGCTGGCATTAATGTAGTCATTTGAACCAAGCTGCAGACATATCCTGCTGTGGTCAACTGTAGAAATGGAGGGGAGAAGAGAAACAACAAATTATGTTTGGTTTTATTTTGTTGACTTTTTTTTTTAAATCTAAACAAACTTCCTACACATCACCCGCCCCTGTGAGAAAACAGGTGCTGCTGGACAAACTAAAACAGCACGACCGTGTGAATTCAACTCTGAGATACACTGGCTGAAGAATCTTTGAGATAAAAAACAAACAGCACAAGTTAAGTTTCAGGTTCCTCATTCTCACATCTCGTTAAAAATGAATATGAAAAACTATAACAATTTGCAATGCAGGCTGCACAATTTTGCATAGTTTATTCAGTGTGAAAAAAAAAAAGAGGAAACCACCAAAGTTCAACAGTTAAACCCTGACGTATTATTTTTCTTCCAGATAATTATTTTCTCAATGTTGACGTATAATGTGTATAATTAGGTGAAAACATAAGAGTAGTTTAATAGAGAAAGAATAATTAAGCACAGATAAAACTAATAATATATACAAAGTATCTTAATTGGATTATTTGTTGTCTCTTCCAGTTCCTCATGAGAATTTAGAAATGACAAATTATAAAAATATTTAAAAAACATTATTTTAAGATAGAATTGGTTATAACCACCATACAATCATTACTTTAACCTAATAGTCTAGGACAAAATAAAGCAGCCTTGCAGTATCCTGACAGCCCATTTGTATTGATAGACATCTGTGCTTTTACTGTTACATGTTTATAGCGCTGCCTGAGGTCAGAACCCAGTGAGCAGGCTTATTTGTGTATATTCCACAGTAATGTATCAGGCATAATGATGCTGGTACTTTGTCAAATGAAAACACGGTACATCTTAGTTATTAATTTTGAGAATCTTATTCTTTTTTTCCAAAGCATCCGGGTCATTTTTGAACACCTGCAGCAGCGAAGGAGGGCAAAGAGCAACTCACAGGGGCTGACGTCCCGGTAACGGTTCCGATTCTTGTTTTCGGGAAATTTGGCAACCTTACAGGGTGATTCACAAGACTGCTGGCGAATCTCCTGTGGGAAAATAAACCAAAGGAATTACAAAATCAGTGTTATACATTTAAGAGAGTTTAAGCATGACAAAACTAAATCTATACATGTGTGGAAAATCCTGTGGGGTGGGGGCCTCTTGCTTGGCCTCTTCCTTCCTAAATTTTACTTTGCTAAAACAAAACCTCAAATGCTGTTTAAAAAAGTAGCCTGTTGATGTTAAACATAGAAAGACAAACATTTATTCCCAGTACACTCATTTAAAACAATGGTACCTTCAGCTACATCTTTTAAAAAGCTGCTATTTTTCTATTATTTTCAGCTAGTTAAGTCCAGGGCTAGCTAAAATCTCAATAAAGCTTCTCTTTAATGCATAAAAATAATTAGTCTGACAGCAGTCATTGGATTAATCAATGCTCAGGGTGGTGGGAACATCCTGAAAGATGTAAAAAAGAAAATTTGACAAATAACCTCTGCAGATTCCAGCAGAATGCAAGTTCTTTAGATGTGTCAACACTTTCCCAACGACATCAAAAACATGTGAACTAGGACTAAAACCAACTCACATTATCTCTGACAAATCTGCAGAATGAAAGAATTTCCAGTCATATGTATCCCCCAAAAAAGTCAGAAACAAAAAAAAGTAATGTATATAAATTAATAACTTATTAGACGACATTTAATCAAATAGTTGTTGAGGTTTTTAAATATATTTAAGCTACTATGTGTAATAAGACACTTTAGTTATAAGATCTGTGATGAATTTGGAACAGAAAGTGATAAAAATTCAAAATGAATATAAGATCCACGGCCATGTTGACACACACTAAAGGTGAATATGGAGAAAACCATCTATGAATAGTAAACAGAGCAGGTTTTTAACCACAAAATAAGCTGCTTAAAGTTAATATGAGGAGGTGAAATGAACACCTCGGTGATGATGGGACGTCCTTCTAGATAACCATCCCGTTCAGAGACATGAATCATCTCAAACGGCTCCGATTAAAGAACAGGAGCGAACAAAAACCACACACGTTTGACATTTTATAAAGGGACTTGCTCTAAGAAGGAGAAAGCTTAGCCCTCGGTTTAATGTTCCCCCTCCATTATCATTATAGACGGTTCCAACCTCATAAACGGAGTTCCAATTCCCAGTTTCGTCGATTTCCCAGAACTCGGCTTCCATCGTTTATACGGTCCAGCTTCCGCACCTTCTTGTTCCCAAACCCAGAAGTTAAAAACTGCGGCTCCTCCGCTGATAAAGCCGTAGTAAAGCGTAGTTAAGCAATTTCCTGTGTTAGCTCCCAACTGTCCGGCTGCTAACAGTAGGGCTGCATAGATCACCGCCTTGGCCTGTTCTTTAGCGGAAACACGCCGCTAGCTCCTCCTACACCTCGTAGCTGCCGTCCTTGGCTGACTAAAAGAGAGAGAAAAAAAGAGCAGAGACTTGTTTTTAAACGTATTAACATTCTTTTGTTTCCATCCAGATACTGGCTATTAAGTTATCGTCATATTCTGAATGCAACTGCGTGAGAGGATAACGCTCTTACCATTTTTACAACAATGGAAAAGACTGATATGCGAGGGCGCGCGGAGGCATCTTGCTTCTCGAAAGAAATGCGTTCGGTTTGTTAGGTAGCGCGCACGTAAGCCCACGTTTTTAAAGTGGAAAGGTTACGGCGGTGGGTCCGCCATATTGGGAGTGGCGATTTAAAACATATTCTCAAAACATATACAGTATATATATCAGGGTTGTAACGATACTAAAGTTTTCAACTCAATACTGATATTCGATATTATTATTATTATTATTTTTATTATTATTATATTATAATATTCGATACCATTTCCGATACCACAAGGCTAAAAACAAAGACCCCAAAATTTAACATAAATATTTTTATTCATAAATAAAATACAATAAATAAATAGATACAATAAAATGATAAGAGCAATATTTTGAGTTTGTATGGTACAATATTAAGCAAGCTTGATAAAAAAAAAATAATTAAAAGTTGTCCTTCCTTGGCTATGCTTTACACACGTAACAGTGACACTAGCCAAACCAGTTACCAAACAAAAATGAATGCTGTATTCCGGAAGGGAAGAGAATACTTTGGGTTTAGCTGCTTAATAAGTTGTTGGAACCCAGGTATCTCCACAGTTAAATAGGAACCTGCTCCATACATATGAACTATGCCACAGCTCTGTTTATTTTCATAGCTTCTAGGGACTTGCCATCATATTTCCGTAGTTGATCAAACATGGATGGTAGAGTCGGCTGTGTTTGATGGTGTTTGGACACAGGTTTACTTCTCTCTGCCTCATTCTGTGACTTCAATTGAGAAAATAATATTTCAGTGGTATCGATACTTTTGAAAATCAGTATTGTATCCAGATACAATGATTTAGTATCAATACTTTTTTGAGAATCAATACTTTCTAACGTGTAATACTATATATATATATATATATATATATATATATATATATATATATATATATATATATATATATATATATATATATATATATATAT